ACATTGTCTTGTGCTGTTCTACAAGTACTTAAATCAAAACCCTAAACCCCACATACAGCTAAAAGAAGATGGGGGGCCCCCCCCTGCGTTTGCTGCTTCTGAGTTTTTCTATTTTATACTTTTCTCTGGGCAGCGCAGCAGCAGCAGATAATGCTGCTGCTGCTGCAGCAGCAGATCCTGCTGCTCGTCCTGCATCAGCAGCAGAAGCAACGGATGGAGTGCCTGCAGGAGCAGCAGCAGCAGACGAAGCAGCAGCTGCAGCCGATGAAGCAGTAGGAGCAGAGGATGAAGCAGCAGCAGCAGCCCCAGATGCTGCAGCTGCTGCTGCAGCAGCACCTCCCTCATCTGCTGCTGCAGCAGTACCTCCCGCACCCGCTGCAGCAGCAGCAGCACCCCCCGCACCCGCTGCAGCAGCAGCACCCCCACTCCCTGCAGCAGCAGAAGCAGCAGATTCCCCACTTGCTGCAGCAGCAGCAGCAGCAGCAGCAGGAAGGCCCTTGAGTGAAGAAGAGCTGGAAGCAGCAGCAGCAGAAATAGAAGAAGAGTTGAGGGGTTTACAGCGGCTAGGGTTTACAAAAACCACCACGCCAGCTCCAGGGTTTTTCAAAGAAGTACGGTTTTTTTTTAAATTTGTTTTATTTTATTATATTTTATTTTGTTTAATTTAATTTGATTTAATTTAGTTTAATTTGATTTTATTTCTTTTTATTTTATTTTACTTCATTTTATTTTATTTATTTACTTATTTATTTATTGCCATCACTGTTTGCTGTTTATTTATTTATTTATTCATTTATAGTTATCTCATATATATTTATTTGATTATTCATATTTATTTTTTTATTTATATTTATCTATTTATTTGTTTATTTATTTGTTTATTTATCCATTTGTTAATTTATTTATATCTATTATTTATTTATATTTATTATTTTCAATTTATATTTTATTTATTTATTTATTTGTCCATTTGTTTGTTTATTTATAATAATTATTTATTTATTTTTATTTATTCATTTACTTATATTTTATTTATTTATTTATTTGTTTAT